GGCGCTCCCTCGGCACTGACCCTCCGACAGCGCGGCGCTCCCTCGGCGCTGACCCTCCGACAGCGCGGCGCTCCCTCGGGCAGTGTGGCGCTCCATCATCACGACTCTCTCTCCTGTGACAGTGCTGAACCCCCTTCATACTAACTCCCTGATAGTGCAGCTCTATCTCAGTATTGACTCTCTGAACTCTGACACCGATAGCTAACAGTGTTGCACACTCTGAAGTCCTGACCCTCGGACAATGCTGAGTTGCCTTGGAATTCAGTTTTGCACACGGCAATGCTCCCTCGGTGCTGCACTTTGACTTTTTTTTTAATTCAGTCATGGATTGTGAGCATACTGGCTGGTCACCATTTATGGCTTGTCTCTAGTTGAGCTTGAAAGGTGATAATGAGCTGCTGCCTTGAGTCAGTACTGTTCATCTGTGACAATGTGCTACTGATCTGATTATTCTGTAACTTTTGGATAGAACTTGAAACCATCATCTTAGCCTTACTGCTGTTCTGCCTTCTGAACTATGGCTGACACTTAATTGTCTGTGACCAGGATAATGATGCTGTCTGTCTGTTTCCTTGCAGCAACAGTATCAGAGTGCTTTGTTCTGGGCTGACAAGGTTGCTTCATTGTCACATGGTGAGCTGATTTTCCATATTTTTGTTTTCAAGTTTTAAGTTTTGAAAATTCATGTTTGAAGTTTTTGAGAAGATTTGTAGCTCGGATTGTGGATGAGATTGTAGACTTGCTCGCCAAGCCGGTGTGTTTGATTGTAGACGTTTCGTCACCGTGCTAGGTAACATCGTCAGTGCGCCTTCGGTGAAGGGTCGGTGTCCCGCTTGTTATTTATGTGCCTCGGTTTGCTGAGGTGGTTGGCCTTACTTCCGGTTCTGTTTTTCAGTGGTTTCTAGATCGGGTCCAGTTCAATGTGTTTGTTGATGGAGTTCCAGTTGGAATGCCAGGCCTCCAGGAATTCCCTGGCATGTCTCTGTTTGGCTTGCGCTATTATGGATGTGTTGTCCCAGTCGAATTTGTGTCCTCCTTTGTGTGTATTGAGACCAGTGAGAATTTGTCGTGTCATTTGGTGGCTAGTCGGTGTTCGTGTATCATTATTGCCGCTTTTCTTCTAGTTTGGCCTATGTAATGTTTTTCACAGTCCTCGCATGCTATTTTGTATGTTAAGTTAGTTTTATTGGTTGTGGGTATGGGATCCTTTATGTTTGTCAATAGCTGTCGCAGGGTAGTTGTTGGTTTGTGGGCTACCCTGATATCTAGTGGTCTGAGTAGTCTTGTGATCATCTCTGCTATGTCTCTGATGTACGGTAGGGTGACTAATGTGTCTGGCTGTGTTGTGTCTTCCTGTTGTGATCTGTCGCGGAGGTAACAGTGGATGGTGCTTTTTGGGTATCCATTCCTTTTAAAAACTCCGGAATTGCGCAAAACAGAACAGAAGCATATGCGAAGTTTTTAAAAGGAATGGATACCCAAAAAGCACAATCCGCCATTACTTCTGTGACAGACCACAACAAGAAGACACAACACAGCCAGACACACTAATCACCCTACCGTATGTCAGAGACATATCAGAGATGACCACGAGACTACTCAGACCCCTAGGTATCAGGGTAGCCCACAACCCAACAACTACCCTGCGACAGCTACTAACGAACATAAAGGATCCCATATCCACAACCAATAAAACTAATGTAATATACAAAATACCATACAAGGACTATGAGAAACATTACATAGGCCAAACTAGAAGAAAACCGACAATAATGATACATGAGCACCAAGGGACATGACCAATTCTCACTGGTCTCAATACACGAGGACACAAATTCGACTGGGACAACACATCCATAATAGCACAAGCCAAACAAAGACATGCCAGGAAATTCCTGGAGGCCTGGCATTCCAACCGGAACTCCATCAACAAACACATTGAACTGGACCCTATATACAAACTACTGAAAAACAGAACCGGAAGTAATGCCAACCACCCCAGCAAACCGAGGCATATAAATAACAAGTGGGATAGAACACCAATGCTTCACCGGAAGCGCACTGATGATGTTACCGAGCAGGGTGACGAAACGTCTGCAATCAAACACACCGGCTCGGCGAGCAAGTCTACAGCCTCAAATATTCGTGTTTGTGATCAGAGTAGGACCAATGCACCAGCTTCCTTTCCAACGAGAGATTCTCTCTTCCACTGACTGCTGTGGTTTGGTGTCGCCTTTTAGTCCCCTTTCTGACTCTGTTCTTTCCCGTTGTTTTCTTAGACTTGATTTAGAACTTAACCTAGATCTGTAGTATTATGGGTTTGTGTTCTTTAGTTTCGTTTTTCACGAGGTGAGAGAAATATTTGCTGAGGTCACATTCCTGTGAATGTCTATCTCCATAAAGGAGTAGGAGTACACTTGGTTATATTACTTTAAAATTAAATAATAGTAAAGTTAAAATCAAATGCCTGTGACTAGCAGCGGTCTACAAGGATCGGTGCTGGGTCTACTGATGTTGCCGTCGTTTATATAGATGATTTGGATGCAAATCTAGAGGGTGCGGTTAGTAAGTTTGGGGGTGACAGCAAAATTGGTGGTATGGTGGACTGTGAAGAAGGCTGACTAAGAGTACAACGGGATGTTGATCAACTGGGCCAGTGGGCCGAGGAATGGCAGAAGTCTTGCATTTTTGTCTGAGAAACCAGGGCAGGACTTACACAGTTAATGGTAGGGCCCTGGGGAGTGTTTCGACATAGGGACCTAGGGATGCAGGAAGATATTTCGTAGAAAGTAGCATCACAGGTAGTCAGGGTGGTGAAGGCAAGTCTGCCACACACTTTCTTCATCGGTCAGAGCATTGAGTACAGGAGTTAGGACATCATGTTACGGTTGTACGTGAAGTTGGTGAGACTACATTTGGAGTATTGTGTACAATTCTGGTCACCGTGCTATAGGAAGGATGTTATTAAACTGGAAAGGGTGCAAAAACGATTTAAAAGGATGTTGCCGAGACTGGAAGGTTTGAGTTATAAGGAGAGGCTGAGTAGCCTAGGACTTTTCTTCCTGGAGCATAGGAGGCTGAAGGTGACCATAGAGATCGATAGGGTGAATAGCCAAGGTCTTTTCCCTAGGGTAGGGGAGTCCAAAACTAGAAGGCATAGATTTAGGTGAGAGGGAAAAGATTTAAAAGGAACGCAGAGGGGCAACTTTTTCACACAGGGTGGTGTGTATATGGAACAAGCTGCCAGACGAAGTGGTAGAGATGGGTACATTTACAACATTTAAAAGACATTTGGACAGGCACATGAACAGGAAAGGTTTAGAGGGATATGCGCCAAATGTGGGCAGATAGGACTAGTTCAGTTTAGGAAACTTGGTCAGCATGGACGAGTTGGGCCAAAGAGCCATTTTTCATGCTGTATAACTCTAAAACAGAATGGGTGGAAGAGGGGACGGAGCATAAATCAAGTTTAGCGTGTTGTATTTTTATTTCTAATTGTATTTGAAGCATCAGACTTCTGTGAAATTTGCAGAGCAGTAACAGCAATATATAAATATTTAAGTCATCTGTATCACTAATTTATCTTGTTTAGGATCCATGATATGTGAGTTAAAACTTAATGATGCATGAAGACTGAAATTTCCCAAATACCTCTCGTTTGAATGAGCAATTACCACAGCAAACGGCTGTTCAAATGGCTTTGCCTGTTCACACGTGTATTTAAACAGAAACTTCCAATATCTGTTTTCCCCCATGACAATTTAAAATTAATTTTTGTTTTATCATCCTTTGTTAAGGTCACAATGCCATTGGTGTTTTACTTACTGTAGTGTGCTTGCCCCTCTAATCATTCTGTTGCTCATTAATAGCCGCAGCTTAGTTGTTACCACTCTCAGTGGGCTTACAGAGTAGACGCTAGAGAATCTAGAACATGGGCACAGTCTCAGGACAGGCAAGTTGATAATTTAGGACTGAGATGAAAATTCTCTTCACTCAATGGGTTATGAACCTTCAGAATACTGTATTATGGAATGTTGTGGATGTCCTGTCATTAATGATATCGCAGGCAGGGATTGACAGATATGTGGTGTCTCAGACCTGAGGGATAGTTACGGGGACTGGGCAGGAAATTGGAGTTGAAGCCAAAAATCAGCATCATCATATTGAGTAGCAAAGCCGGCTCAACAGACTGTATGGTCTACTCCAGTTCCAGTTTCTTAATTTCTGATGTTCGCTCTTGCTTCTAATTCAGCAGGTTCTGAGTTCAAATTGGATTCTAAGGCTTGAGCACAAATACCAAAAACTCCATTGCAGAATTAGGGGAATGCTGCATTGATGGAAACACTGACGTTCGAGTGAGGTGTTCAACCAAAGCCCTGTCTGCTGCTCAGTGGATGTAGAATACCCTACAGTGTTATTTTGAGGAAGAGTAAAAGATTTATCATGGGGGTTCTGGGCAACATCATTGAAAGTATGTAATCTGATTATTCTCGCGTATCTTTGCGAGTTTGTGAGCAAATTGGCTGCTGTATTTCCCACAATACCATAGTGACAACCAAGTACTTCATTGGTTGTAAGGTACTCTGAAAGGTTCGATGGGCATGCAGATGCTTTAAAAGTGCAAATTACTTTTATTGCAAAATGGGAAGAAGGAATGAAGATGGGTGACAGATTAACTGTCCCACTGGGCTTTGAGAAAGGGCTGCGTTTGACGATTTCATCTCAAAGTAATCAATTCAAACAATCATGAATCCTGAAACTAATCATAAATTTACAGAAAATATATATTATAAATTAAAATCTAGTCGCCATGGCAAGATGTACCAAAAAGAAAATATTAAAGTGCTTTTAGCAGGGAGCTGTGTGCTCTGTGGTTGGGCTTCAACATGTTAGCAAATATTCTGCAACCCTTCCTTTAGGTGAACCTGTACTGTACTGAGCATTGAACGTATACAACCAGGAGTTGCCCACCATGTGCTTTTGTTGCCCTTAAGATGACCATCATTTTGGTGACTGTCCCTTTATCATAAGATCAGAAATGGGGGTGTTCACTAATGATTGGACAATGTTCAGCATCATTCACAATTTGTCAGATACTGAAGCAGTCCATGTCCAAGTGTGGCTGGATCTGGACAATATCTAGATTTTGGCTGATAAGTGGCAAATAAAATTTGAGCCACACAAGTGACAAGCAAATGACCATCTCTCTTTGTCATTCAATGGCATTTTCAACTGTCAATCAATTCTCCACTATCAACGTACCAAGGGTTGCCATTGACTAGAAACTCAAATTGACCAGCCTAATGCATACTGTAGCACAGGAGGCAGGTCAGAGCTTGGAAATTCTGTGTGACTAACTCCCAAATGTATGAACATATGTGTTAGGAACAGGAGTAGCCATTTGTCGAGCTTGCCTCCACCATTCAATATAATTTAGGCTAATCTGTTTTTGTTTCAAGTTCCACATTCCTTTCTACCCTGATAAATCTTGAATCCCTTGGTCAAAAAGAATCAGACATCTCCACCTTAAAAATATTAAATGAACCTGCCTTCACCACTTCTGAGGCAGAGAGTTCCAAAGTTGCATGACACCCTGAGAAAAAAAAAATTCTCCACGTTTCCATCCTAAAATGGCGAGCGCCTAGTTTTGGAGTCACCCACAAGAGGAAACATCCTATCTATATCCACTTTGTCAAGACCATTCAAGTCAAGTCGCCCCTTACTCTTCTATACTCCAGTGGAAGCAAGCCCAATCTGTCCAACCTATCCTTATAAGATAACCTATTAATTCCAGAAATCAATCTAGTAAACCTCCTTTGAACCATCTCCATGCTTTTACATTCTCTTTAAATAAGAAGACCTAAATGACTCAGCCCTCACACCCACTCCTCACAATAACAACAAAGACAGAATTCCCCTTGTCCTCATGTATCACCCCATCAACCTCCAGATTCAACGCATCATTCTCAGCCACTTCCGCGACCTGCAGTCTGACCCTACCACCAAGGATATATTTCCCTCCCCACCCTTTATCTGCCTTCTGGAGGGACCGCTCTCTCAGTGACTCCCCACACTCCCCACTAGCCCCACCAGCCCCAGCACTTTTCCCTGCAACCGCAGGAAGTGCTACACCTGCCCCTACACCTCCCCCCCGCTCACCTCCATCCCAGGCCCCAAGAAAACCTTCCACATTAAACAGATGTTCACCTGCACATCTGCCAACGTGGTATATTGTATCCGCTGTTCTCGATGTGGCCTCCACTACATCAGGGAAACCAAGCGGAGGCTTGGGGACCGCTTTGTGGAACACCTACGCTCGGTTCGTGACAAACGACAACACCTCCCAGTCGCGAACCACTTCAACTCCTCCTCCCACTCCTTGGACAACATGTCCATCCTAGGCCTCCTCCAGTGCCACAACGATGCCATCCGAAGACTGGAGGAACTGCGCCTCATATTCCGCTTGGGAACCCTGCAGCCCAATGGTCTCAATGTGGACTTTACAAGCTTCAAAATCTCCCCACCCCTGACCTCATCCCAAGACCAGCCCATCTTGTCCCCGCCCCCTTGACCTGGCCATCTTTTCTCCCACCTATCCGCTCCTCCCACCTCACTGATCAACCCCCACCCCCACTTCCTACCTACGAGCCTCATCCCCGCCTCCTTGACCTGTCCGTCTTTCCTCCTACCTCCCCGCCCCTCCCTCCTCACTGACTAACCCCCATCCCAAATCCCTACCTACACGCACCTTTACTAGCTTCATCCCCGTCTCCTTGACCTGTCGTCTTCTCTCCACCTATCTTGCTCCTCCATCCACCTTCTATCTTCGCCTCCCCCTCTCCTTATTTATTTCAGAGTCCCCTTCCCCTCCCCCATTTCTGAAGAAGGGTCCAGACCAGAAATGTCAGCTTTCCTGCTCCTCTGATGCTGCCTGGCCTGCTGTGTTCATCCAGCTCTACACCTTATTATCTAAATGACACAGTATCTGAGATGTGGCCTCACCAGTGCCCTATATAATTGGATTGTCACATCCTTACTTTTATGTTCAATTCCATTCATATGGAAGGATGGCATTCCATGAGCTGTCTTGATTATGTGCTGCACCTGCAATCTAATTTTTTGTGACTCGTGCACCAGAACACCTAAATCTCTCTGCCCCACAGAATTCTGGCATCATTCTCCTTCAGGCCAAAGTGAACAACTTCATATTTTCCCACCTTATACTTACTCTGCCAGATTTTTGTTCCCTCACTCAACCTATCTATATTCATCTGCAACTCCCTTAGCCGTCTCCATTTCCACTTTACATACTTTCCTACCTATCTTGCTATGACCTGTGAATTTAGCCACCATGCCTTCACTCCCCTTATCTAAGTCATTCACGTGAATTATAAAAAAGTTGAGATCCAGCACAGAACTGTTCAGGCTCCACTCATCTCATCCTGCCAATCAGACAAAGACCCATTTATGCATAGTGATTTCATCCAGCCAGCCAACTTTATGCCCATGTTAATATGTTACGCTCTACACCATGAGTTTTTATTTTCCAAAGTCTTTGATGGGGCACCTTATCAAGTGCTTTCTGGAAGTCCAAGTGTAGTAAATCTACAGGTTTCAACCTATATACAGTGCTGCTTTCTAAAAAAAAAAACTCCCATAAATTGGTTGGACATGATTTCCCTTTGATGAAACTATGCCCTGATTGCCTGAATTTTTCTAAATGTGCAACTATCATCCCTTCAGTAATCAATTCTGACACGTTTTCCACAACAGTCATCAAGCTAATTGGTGTATAGTTTCCGGCTTTTTGGTTCTCTTCCTTCTTGAATAGGGAAATTATATTTACTACTTTCTAGTCTGAAAGAACTTTTCCCGAATCTAGAGAATTTAGGAACATTGATGCAAATGCATCTGGCACCTCATTAGCAACAACTTTTAAGACCCCAGGATAAAATCTTCTGGACTTGGAGAGACCTGTCAGCCAGCAGTTCCATTGGTTTGCTTAGTCCCACCACCCTTGTGATTGTCATTTCACAATGTTCCTCTCTCCCTTCCACCTGATTCATAACTATAACTGGGATGCTTATTGTATCCTCAACAGTGCAATCAGAAGCAAAATATTTTCTCATTTCATCTACCTTTTCCTTGTTACTACTATTAACACCCATTTCACTCTCTCTTGCAGGGCCAACACTCACTTTACATATTCTTTTCCTTTTCAATACCTGTCAAAACTCTATCTGTATTTGAATGTCTAGCTAGCTTCATATTCTAATTTCTTCTTCTCATTAATGTTTTAGCCATTCACCGCAGTTTGTATTTTGACAAATCATATGACTGCCACTCACCTTGTGCAGTTGTATGCTTTTTTTTTTCTTTAAGTTTGATGTTTTCTCTAACTTCTTTAGTTAACCAAGGATGATGGGTGCTTCCTTTTGAACTTTTCTTTACAGTGGGAATGCAATTTCTTTGCATTGAGAATTCTATGATGTAAATTTTGTGATTTATATGTAACTTTGGGTTTGGGTTTCTGATTTTTGAGTTTGTAATCTGTAGTTTTGTGTGTTTGAAGTTAACAATTAATTTGCAGTATTTCTGTAGCCATGGTGATTTTTTTATTGAAAACAGTTTTTGAGGCCTGGCTTTAGAGTGAATGGATTTATGTGCCAACCCTTCTCCGGGGCAATTAGGGATGGACATCAAATAGTGACCTTGTTAACAACACCCAAATCTGATGGAAAAAATATGTTTTTTAAAATTGCATTGTTGACATATTAATTGTAACGGTTTTGTTTTCTGTTGTAGAGGAACCCCAGGATATCTACTGGCTTTCCCAGTGCCTTTACCTTACTGCCCAGTACCACAGGGCTGCCCATGCAATTCGATCCCGCAAACTTGATAAGGTATGATTTCTTTCCCATTACGCAGATTGCTGTATAATAACTTTATTAAACTCTGTTGAATGCAGATAGTCCTCACTTAATGTGGTTTTGAATAATCTCATTATGCCACAACATGATAGTTGCCTTACTATCTATTGTTTCAACGCATGTACCTGACTTGTAATAATGTGATTGCACCTAATTCTCAGCAGTGCAGAAAAATAAATTTGCACCAAAACTCAGCATTCCTGTGCAATTTTCTGTGCATCCAGCTCATTTTGGCTGTTGCCTGTCAGAGTGACATCTCCATCAATTGTGGCTCTTGCCATGAAAGCAAAGAAGTTGTGGTTAAGAAAAGCAGGAAGTCAATTCCATTGAATATTAAATTTGGACGTGCTATCAAGTTTCAAACGTGCTGAGTGACATGTGGATTTTCACTGATTCAAAGAAAACAATGAATTTGATGTCCTTGCTCCTCAAAAAATTCTAATCAGCAGAAGCGTTCAATTTGATTGAGTCAGCAAATGACAATTAAAATCATTACCTCTGCCAAGGACACTCTAGCACAGACTCTGAAACAAGATATTGTTGGTTCTGATTTGAGCTAGGAGGTAATCTCGTGACCCAAGTGTAAATCACTGTCTAAAAGCCAAAGAGAACACCTAAACAGGGATTAGCCACGGGATAACATCATAGGCTTCTAATGAAAATAAGAAGGGTTACGTGGAATATCTGTCTTTTGCCACTGGGCTGTGAAATAAGTGGTTGACAAAAGTCTCCCAGAAATATGATATATAACTTGTTCTAGAGAGAGAAAAGCTTCTCTTGGTGGAGAACAGAGGACAGAGGAAGACTGCTTTAAAATAATCCATGCTTGATTGTGCCTAACACTCTAGCTAGTTCAAGTAATTGAAAGGAAACTGAAGAAACTGCCGTTTCCAGCCGTGGAGATGAGTTTCATCTATCTGTTTAGCTGATGTAGCACCAGAAATCCCTGTTATGGGTTGTAGGTCTTTTCTACTTATTTAGATGATGAATCGTTGCTAAACTGTTGTTTAGTAAGAGTTAAATTACTTTTAAGTCACATGAATTATTGACTGCCTATTTTGGGCAACCAGTGACTCCCAAAATGTAAGTCTTGTGATTTCAATTATTTGGGCAACTTCAAACTGTACAACAGTCCACTTCCTACCTAAGGTATGTGCTGTCTTAGTTTTGTCTGCATAGACTGGAAAGGAATAACAGAATGTTTGCTGCACAGAAACAGGCCATTCCTTTTATTCTTCCATGTCCTTTTTCCATCCCCACAGCCCAGGTACTGGCATGAATATGACATGGCTGTGCTGAAAGCAGCCCAGTCCATTTTCACTTACTCGTTATCCCCATTATCAGCATTTTTTCCCTGGTTTTACGATCAGCCATCCTTTTGCCTAATTTTCTTCCCCTCGCTCTGGGTTCTGTCTCCACCTATCTGCTCACTTCTTCTCCTCGTCCTCTTCCACACATCCACAAACCCCCAACCCACTGTCATCAGCATAAAATTTACATTTCCTAGCTACTATCCATTCCAAACAAGACTCCCTGGAGTTGAAACATTAGTTGCTTTGTCCAGCAATTTCTGTCTTTATTCATTCCATCTGGTCTGGACTGGTGTTTATGGTTGACGTGAGCTGCTTCCCACCTTGCCCTTCACACGTTAAGAGCATATTCTAATCCTGAACAAAAACACAAATTTCTGGAAAAAACTTGGCAGATCTGGCAGTATCTGTGGAGAGAAATCAGAGTTAACATTTTGGGTTCAGTGACCCTTGCAGTTCTGAGGAAGGATCACTGGACCCGGAAGTTAACTTTGATTTCTCTCCACAAAAGCTGCCGGACCTGCTGAGTTTTTCCAGCAATTTCTGTTTCTGTTTGTGATTCTGATTTCCAGCATCTGCAGTTCTTTTGGTTTTTTATTCCAATCCTTTCTCCCTTGCGTTTATCCAGCTTTTTCTTATATGCATAGAATCCCTACAGTGTGGAAATAGGCCCTTCAGCCCAGGAAGTCCACACCAATCCTCGGATCATCCCACCCAGACCCATTCCCTACAAACCCCACCTAATCTGCACATCCCTGAACACTATGCGTAATTTAGCATGGCCAATCCACCCTAACCTGCACATCTTTGGACTGCGGGAGGAAACCGGAGCACCCAGAGGAAACCCACGCAGACACGGGGAGAATGTGCAAACTCCACACAGACAGTCGCCCGAGGGTGGAGTCGAACCTGGGCTCCTGGCGCTGTGAGACACCAGTGCTAACCACTGAGTCACTGTTCCACCCACTGCGCTCGAACCAGGTAGGACGCGAACATACGATCTTCTGATTGAAGTTAAATGTGTTATCCATTACGCCACTGGCCCAATACTTATCATTCAAGTTAACTACTCCCTATGGTAGTGAATACCACATTCTCGTCATGCTCTGGGTAAAGCGAGTTTTTTTTCTGATTTCCCTGGCGAATTTATTAGTCACTATCTTATATTTATGGCCCTAGTTCTCAACTTCCTTCAAGTGGAAGTATCTTCCCTATGTACACTTCATTGAATGCTGTCAGAATTTTTAAAGCCCTTTTATTGAGTGATAACTAGGAACTGACTGCTGGTCCACTGGACAGCTTGGTAAACCATTTACAACATTGAGCAGAATATCATGGCAGGTGATGATGGAGTGACTTGTTTTTCGATCTGTCCACAGATCTATGGAGCCTGTCGATACCTTGCTGCCCAGTGTCATGTGAGTAAATTAAATTTTAATTTTAATATCTTTGTTAAAATTTCTTAAAAGGTGAGGTTACTTTATAATCTTTAAATCTTTATACTATAGTGTTCTTATTGTGATTTATAAATGTTATTCATGGTTGTAAAACAAAAAGACAAATATTTGATTTGGATCTTAAACTTACCACTTTACCTTAACCTTACTTGTCTACTTGGCTTAATTATATTACTTTATTATCTTGGCTCTGCCTTTCATTTATTTGTTGTTTCTCAGTTAATCCCTTCTTCCAAAAAATACACTTTTTTAAAATCATGACTCAATCAATCACCAAGTGATGTCAACAAGGTGCAGAGCTGGATGAACACAGCCGGCCAAGCAGCATCATAGGAGCAGAAAGGCTGACGTTTCGGGCCTAGACCCTTCATCAGAAATGGGGGAGGGGAAGGGGGTTCTGAAATAAATAGGGAGAGAGGGGTAGGTGGATAGATGACCGCCCGCTTCTATCTCCTTCCCAAAATCCACAAACCTGAATGCCCTGGTCGACCCATTGTCTCCTCCTGCTCCTGCCCCACCGAACTTATCTCCAACAATCTGGACTCCATTTTCTCCACCTTGGTCCAGGAACTCCCTACCTATGTCCGTGACACCACCCACGCCCTCCACCTCCTCCAGAACTTCCAATTCCTGGTCCCCAACACCTCATCTTTACCATGGACGTCCAGTCCCTATACACCTGCATTCCCCATACAGATGGCCGAAAGGCCCTCCGCTTCTTCCTGTCCCGCAGGCCCGACCAGTCCCCCTCCACTGACACCCTCATCCGCTTAGCCGAACTCGTCCTCACCCTCAACAACTTCTCTTTAAATTCCTCCCACTTCCTACAGACAAAGGGGTGGCCACAGGTACCCGCATGGGCCCAAGCTACGCCTGCCTCTTTGTAGGTTACGTGGAACAATCCCTCTTCTGTACCTACACTGGCCCTAAACCCCACCTCTTCCTCCGTTACATTGATGACTGTATCGGCGCCGCCTCGTGCTCCCACGAGGAGCTCGAACAGTTCATCCACTTCACCAACACCTTCCACCCCAACCCTGAGTTTACCTGGACCATCTCTAATACCTCTCTCTACTTCCTGGACCTCTCTGTCTCCATCTTGGGCAACCACCTAGAAAACGACATCCATTTCAAGTCCACCGACGCCCACAGCTACCTAGAATACACCTCCTCCCACCCACCTTGCTGCAAAAAATGCCAACCCCTATTCCCAATTCCTTTGCCTCCGCCGCATCTGCTCCCAGGATGAGGCATTCCACTACCGTACATCTCAGTTGTCCTCGTTTTTCAAGGACCGCAACTTCCTCCCCCTCAGTGGTCGAGAACGCCCTCAACCGTGTCTCCCACATCTCCCGCAACTCATCCCTCACACCCTGTCCCCG